TCTCTCATTCCACATCCTCTTTTGAATCCAGCTTGCATTTCTGGAAGTTCTCTGTCAGTATACTGCTGCAACTGTTTTTGAATTATCTTCAGTAAGATTTTACTTGAATACAATATCAATGATATTGTTCAATAATTTCCACATTCTGTGGAATCATCTTTCTTTGGAATAGGTACAGATATGGATCTTTTCCAGTCAGTTGGCCAGATAGTTGTCTTCCAAATCTCTTGGCATAGCTGAGTGAGTGCCCCTAGTGCAGCATCCGTTTGTTGAAACATCTCAATAGGTATCCCGTCAATTCCTGGAGCCTTGTTTTTTGCCACTTCCCTCAGTGCAGCTTCAACTTCTTCCTTCACTACCATTGGTTCTTGATCATATGCCATGTCCTGAAATGGATGAACATCCCAACTCTTTTTGGTACAGTAACTCTGTATATTCCTTCCATTTTCTTTTGATGTTTCCTGCATCATTCGATACATTGCCCATAGAATCTTTCAATATTGCAACTCGAGGCTTAAATTTTTTCTTCAGTTCTTTCAGCTTGAGAAATGTTGAGCATGTTTTTTCCTTTTGGCTTTCCAACTCGATGTCTTCGCACATTTCATTATAATAATTGACTTTGTCTTATCGAGCTGCTGTTTGGAATCTTCTGTTTAGCTCTTATCATGTCATTTCTTCCATTTGCTTTAGCTATTGTCCATTCAAATGTAAGTTTCAGAATCTTCTGATATCCATTTTGGTATTTTCCTCCTTCCCTGTCTTTTTAATGACCGTGGGCACCCCTGCCGGCACAGCCTCCAGCCTCACAGCAACACACAAGCCACCACAGGGCTTTTCTACTCAGGGCTGATGGGTAAAAATGTAACTCTTGCTTTCTTCATGGATGATGTTCTTGATGCCATCCCATGATTCCTCTGGTTTTTGGTCATTAATGTTCAGTGCATCAAATCTATTCTTTAAATGATCTCTAAATTCAGGAGGGATATAACCAAGGTCATATTTTGGCTCTCGTGGACTTGTTCTATTGTCTTCAACTTGAACTTGCAAATGAGCAGTTGATGGTCTGTTCCACAGTCAGCTCCTGGCCTTGTTTGGCTGAAGATATTGAGCTTCTCCATTGCCTCTTGCCACAGGTGTAGTCAATCTGATTCCTGTGTACTCTATCTGGCGAAGTTCACGTGTATAGCCTTCATTTGTGCTTAAAGAAAGGTATTTGCAGTGAATAAGTCTTTGGTCTTGCAAAATTCTATATGTTATCTCCAGCATTATTTCTATCACCAAGGCCAAATTTTCCAACTACCGATGATTCTTGTTTCCAACTTTTGCAATCCAGTCACCAGTTATAATCAGCACATCTTGATTGCATATTTGGTCAATTTCAGATTGCAGAAGTTGGTAAAAAT